TTTATCCACTGTGCCACTTGATATAGACAGCTACCAAAACATGCCAATAAATTTAATATCGGTTTGAAATACAACAAAGTATTTTACTTATTGGAAATATTAAATTTAATCTATTAGCTTGGAATTAAAATTAGAATAAATGCTTCAAGAAAGATTTTTAATTTTCAAAATGCATTATAAATCTTATGTGTCGTTTTGTTTTGGGAGGTATCTACATTAATGCCCACCATAAAATACGGTATTAATTTAAAAGATAAAAATACAAATCTGTTTTTAATTATAAGTTTCTACCGAAATCCCATTAATGCCTACCGTCCTAAAAATACTATGTGGATAATAATGGGTTCAAAGAAGAAGTAATTATCTCTAGGTGGCCTTTTCTCCTAAGAATAATCTCGTGAGCAGGTTTTTTTTTAAGTAGAAGATTTTTAAGCGCGAAAATAACCAATGGTTGATTATTAACCGAATTGTGCGATGTCCCTCAGGTTCGAATTTTCTTAACCAAATGAGTGGTGGTCGTGATAAGGGTCGTGGCAAATTTTGGTAATGTTACGTACCCGCAAAAAGAAAGAAAATGGTGTTTCAAATAGACGTTTTTCTTTCTTGGCACCGCTATTAAGGTATACTTACGGCAATTTCTATTTTTTAATCGATTCACCCCAAACAAGGCGGTAATGTCACTAAGACGTAAGGGACTAATGGTAGTGAAAGAGAAAGGAAATACTTTAGAACAGTGGTTCCCAGTCGTTTTGGGGCCATGCCCCCCCCCCACTTTGGTATTTCTAAAATTCTGGTGCTTCCCTGTAATATTTAATTCATACATATTCAAAATTTGACAGCAATTCACGCGATGGAAGCAAACTGAATGCTCACACGCTGATTGGCCGGTAAAACATGGGCTCTTCTAGCGATATGCATCACGCCCTCTCCTTTGTTAACCGAGACACGCGAGTGTGGGGAGACGGGAAATACCCTCTATGCCAATTACACATGTACGTACATACACACAAAATATTCTTATGTATGCGTACTGTATATGCATCGTAACACACATTTACATTAATACTCTCACTCAGACTCACTAGAAAACAATTCACTGTTAATAAATCATTCTCGAATTACCGCCTTATTCTGTTGGTATGGTAAACCGAAGGTTGCACATCCTACGCATGCCCCACTAAAATATTAGTGTGTGAACCGGACAATAATGGATGGTGTGTGAAGCGGACAATAATCGAACCTATTTACTCCTAAAATAACATTTCAGAGTTCAGGTGGAGTTAGAGAATAGAGTTTAAAGTAGACATTCGACGGAACCGGAAGAACAATCCTGAACAGGAAACAAGGGATAAACTGAATTTATACATTTTGTTTTTCTCAAAATTCAAAAGAATTAAACACTATTTATTTTATTAGAATGCTTATTTACAGGAATAATTTTATATTTATAAGTCTATAAAAATGTGATCCAACTAAAATGCAACATTTATCATTTAGCAAATAATAAAGAAATAACGATGAAAATTCCTTTTCTTCATAAATTTCTGAAATTTCATTTCTGTGAAAAAGAGAACAAGGAAATTTAAATAAACACATGATGAGTAACTGCGATTATAAATTTTGAAAAAAAAAATGCATTTTCCGGGTATGTCGTTCATTTGATCTCGCCATATAAATTCACTATGTTGTGAGTAGTTGGATTCATATGTTTTTTTTTCTCGAGAATGGACAACAAAAATATCAAATAATTTAATTATCAGAATATTTATTTTGTAGCAATATTATTATTATTATTATTATTATTAGTAGTAGTAGTAGTAGTAGTAGCAGCAGTATTAGTATTATAAATAAATACAAACAAAATATAAAATAATAATAATGAAAATTATGAATAAAATAAAGTAAAATAATAACATAAAAACGTTGTATAAAATGAATTAAAAATACTCCCAGCATGCAACGAAAACTGTTCCTGTCAGAAATACGGTCAAAAGACGTTAAATTCATTCTCTTCACCACGGACCTTGGTACGGGCAACACGTGTCCGACTTCTCTCTGTGATATGGCTTGTAATAACACGAAGTAATTTTTCCCTTTTATCATATGTACCATAAAACAATTCTAACCTAAAAAATATACACACAGCAAAAAATGCAAATAAATTGTATGAAATTAACATACAACTTACCATGCTTTTCTGTTATTTCTGTATGTTTTATTTCCTGTCAAGTGTGCATTTATCTCCGGGAACACAAAGATAATTTCTTCTGCTATGATGTGAGTGAACCCCCACAATTTACAAGGATAGTGTAAAATACTTTTGTTGTCAATTCTCTCTGAAAAAATAGAATGCATAAATCCAGTTTCATATGTTTAGGTTTTGTTAAAATTGTACAAATAGCTTTTAAAAATTGCCAAGGTAGTTTTTTTTTTTTTTTTTGCCGGTGCTTAGATTAAAATTTACCCAATTTCATTTAGCAAAAGGGATTACGATTGAAAAAGTCTATGAAGGTCTGGTGGTGCCGGTTTATCAGGCTAAACTAGGGGACCTCCAGCCAAGGTGTATAATATTTTTGACATTGTCATAGCCCTTTCTTACCCAGGCTGTCATAAAACATTGTAGACTCTAAATAACCCTTCAGTAATTTTAAACACCCGTCATCATCATTGGTTTAATTCAAATTGTTTAATTTAACACTTACATTTTCCTCCTATTCGTGAGAATGGGGGATTTGGAGTGGCCTCGAGAGTGGAATAGACTAGGGATTCTCTTCTTCTAAATATGGCCACAAGTACAGGCCTAGAGCATAGAAATAGCACGAAAAAATACACTAAAAACACTATCCTCGAATTAAAAGAATTTGATCATGAAATAACGAGCATCACCGATCTAGCATGATGAAATGGGTTTGAGTACTTTTGATCTATTATTCTGTCTCCTAGCAATTTTCCTGCAACCACAATATCTGCATATTCAGGAAACCATTACGGTTATTCATGTAACAAATATGATTGTTGGCATCAAAATTAGATTGAAATTCATAAATTTCCATCTAATTTTGCGCAATGAAAAGATTTGCGATTGAAATCACCGAACACTGTGTTTCCCGATGAATTTGCGCTTCACGGGTCTCGGAGGTGGTATATCAAAAGAGAGAAATCTAGTATTTGCAGCATTTTCCATATTCCAGATATATATATCGACTGAAACAATTCAGAATTAGTGCGAAAATAGAACGTGATGCATTAATCATGAACAAGATAAAGTTTCTGGCCGAATCAGCAACAGATAATATCATCTGTCAATATATTTAGCTCAGAGGGTTTTATAGTAAAAGAAAAGATTAACAGTCTATTAATCTATTTTATTTAAAATGAGTCAACCAGTAAAAAGGATATGTGTTTTACGAACATCTATTTCCTTTAGTAGATTGATTGGTTACAGTACTAGTCGGTTAGTTGGTGCATAAAACGTCACATAAGCTTGTCTTTTTAATCTATCTAAAATTGTTCATATCTATCTATCTATCTATCTATCTATCTATCCTGGGTATGACGATAAACTGCATCCGCGTCCAGGGTAAGACGATAAACTACATCCGCGTCCTGGGTAAGACGATAAACTATGTCAAACAGCAAGGACTCTGATCAGGAGGTTTTGAGGAGCGTGAAACCACCTCTTAATTGCTGGTGTTCCCAGGTCCACCCTGGTACGGGGTGGTAGCACCTGTTAGGGTCCCAGCTATAGGCAAATAGTTAACCCGAAATTGAGTCTACATCCGCGTCCTGGGTATGACGATAAACTACATCCAGCAGCAAGACCTATGATCAGGAGGTTTTGAGGAGCGTGCAACCACCTCTTAATTGCTGGTGTTCCCAGGTCCACCCAGACCCGGGGTGGTAGCACCTGTTAGGGTCCCAGCTATGGGAAAATAGTTAACCCCAAAATTGAGGTAAAAAGCATTATAAAAGTATAAAAATAGGTTTCAATATCACAAATAATTTGTAAAAATTACCAGAAATAAATTTTCGGCTATACGTTTTGAAAAAATAATATTACCAGCTATACGTTTTGAAAAAATAATATTTCCAGCTATACGTTTTTGAGAAAAAAATATTAACAGAAATAGATTTTTGACAAAAAAAAAATATTACCAGGAAAAAAAGTTGTCGGCATTAAATGTCCCATTGAGGTTGACATGCCGTAAAACAAACCAAACCAAACCAAATCTATCTATCTATCTATCTATCTATCTCTCTCTATATATATCCAAGTCTGTTCATATCTATCTATCTATCTATCTATCTATCTATCTATCTATCTATCTATCTATCTAAGTCTGTTCATATCTATCTATCTATCTATCTATCTATCTATCTATCTATCTATCTATCTATGTTTTTGTAGAATAAGTGACATATCAGTTTCACAAGCCGTCGATATTAACTTGCACAAGAAACTAAAATTAAGTTTATATGTAAATCTTTAGTTGATTCTGCAACAATCATTTTGTGAGTGAATGAAATCGTCACGCGGATCCGGAATATTCATTGGATAAATGTTATTTCTACAATTGTTACAAATGACACTTGTGATTGCGAATGTCTCAGCAGATGCTCTTTTAGTAGAACTGACTGGGGAAAATCATGAAATGACTTTAATATACACACACGCGTGTTCGCATGCACGAATACATCTCAATACAATAAAAAGCACACTCATACACATACACACAAAATCACGTACAGAAAAGCACGAGGCTCAGGTCCGTACACATGCACACACAGGTACACACAGGTACACACACATACACTTGCACAAGCACACGCACATACATTATCAGTTTATCTATCTATATATCTCTCTTCGCATACACAAAAACATATATACAAGCACAAGAGACAAATATATGCACACACATACGCACAAATTTACTTACACGCCGATGCACATGCGTACGAGTACAAAGCAGAAATTTGCACAAGACACTTGCACACGCATGAATACACTTGCACACGCACACACATACACCCATCTATCTATCTATCTATCTATCTATCTATCTATCTATCTATCTATCTATCTACGTACACACTGAGGCAGCAACATATAAGCCTAAGGTGCAAATACATAAACACATGAATATGTTGCACAAGCACACGTATACAAACAGCGTCGCATACATGCAAGTATAGGATCTGTGCAACACAGATACACACGTATAGAGGAATACAATCACACAAGCATATGCATATAAATATATTATCTATCTATCTATCTATCTATCTATCTATCTCAGTCTATTCCTATCTATCTGCAACAATGACAACTATAAGACTTTGAGATTCGTATTGACATTAATGACAAGAATATGTATTTTTCTTTACGTGATCTTTATTACAATATTAGCATTGTACGTGTTAAAATGTTCTGTGTTATTGTCTCTTGATTTCTTTAAAAGTTTGTTTTGACTTGATTTTGCTTGTTCCGAGAATTTCGTGGTTAAGGGAAGCATTTGAAACCGTCAACCGTCGATTTTCCCGGAGCGAAGACATGTCTGTGTTGTTCTCTATTTACTACTGCTACTTTCTACTCTATTCTGTTGACCTTGCTTGTGGTGAAAAGTTCGTTTTTATAATAATGAAGTTTCAGATTGTTAGAATGATGAAATATCATCATCTATCATTACTGGTGGGAAGGTTGTTTTTAGAACGATGAAATATTATCATCAATCTTTACTGGTGGAAAGGTTGTTTTTAGAATGATGAAATATCGTCATCAACATTCTGGATCATAAATGTTCCTTTACGTTTATTTGATTGTAATGTAATTTGTCCAAGCGTTCCACGTGAGACACTCATACAGCTTTGTCTATTAAGTTATGGCCTTACATCAAGTTGGTCTTGAAATAAGCTTTGTTGTAGCTGTCATTGTCGTTCTGTTGCTAATCTTTTTCCTCCCTTTCACTGTTATATTAAACATAGAATTTTTAACATAACAAAAATAGAGCCAGAAACGATTTATATAATATCAATAGTAATCAACGAATAATAATTACTATAAAACGTTTAAAAAATGTAAAGAAACGAATTAATTAAGCGGTTCATAGGCCTTTATTTTAGTTGTGAATTCTTTTTCTCTGTTTTATTGAATCTCAATACATTGTTTCATTTTTTTTTTCATTGCATCTCACGACTAAAACTTTCTAACAATTGCCGGTATTTTTGACGGTATGGGTAGACTAGTATAATAAGTACTTTTTGTAGCCTCTACTATTAGGTATTTATTTGTGTTGGCAGTTGTAACTATCAGCATGAACGACCTAACGCTAGGTATCAGGCTGTTTTTAGCATTTTAAATCAAATACAATTTTTTAAATGTTGTTTTATAAAAACAATTTATACATACCATTTATTTAGCTTGAGACCTCTTATTTTTTTTTTATAAATAATTTTTCATAACTTTTTAAACAATATTTATAATTTCTCTCTGAATTTCTGTGATGAGGACTGGGATGAAGAGTTATCATTATTTACACTATTTCCTTCTAGTGGTTAACACAACGTTTCGGCCGTTACGACTTCTGGCCTTCATCAGCTGTATATCGATTTAAATAATCTACAGGGAATTCTGAACTAACATCTTTATATTTAATCTACGGGGACAGACTGTTCTCGTGTCTAGTTCTTATTTTTATTGCTACTCATATATTGTTCGCCTGTTTTCATTCTGTCCATATACATACTGCCCACTCCAGGGATTGAACTTACAATTACTATGTCATCAAATTCACCACCAACACTTTAACTCACTAGCTATTGTCCGTAGAACAGTTCTTTGTAGTGAACTTGGCGCCTTAAACCTAACCTAACTGCTGATTTGTGCTGTAGCAGTAGTAGTGGAAGGTTAGGTTTAAAGCTCCAAGTTCACTGCAGAGAATTGTTTTATGGACAATAGACAATAGCCGAGGAGATTAAAGCGTTGGTTTTTGTATTTGGTGATATATATATATAGTAATTGTGAGTTCAATTCTCCGGCCTGGCAGTGTGTACTCAGTGGAAACAGGCGAGCAATAACTGAGCAGTACTAAAGATAAGATTTAAACGAGATATTTTTAGCCATGAGAACAGTCTAGCCCTTAGATTAAATAAAGTGTTGTTCAGAATTCCCTGTAGGTTATTCAGTTCGATATACACCTGATGAAGTCTGGCAGGCACAACGGCCGAAACGTTGTGGTAACAATAACAAAAATGAGGACAATGTAAATAGTGTAAATAATATTTATACTTTTTATACGTTTGATCTTGGTCATTATCTTGGCTGTTATAATCTCCACGTTTTGGCCGATGTATCCTCTTGCTTGTTGTATTCGGTAACGTTTTCTGAATTTATCAGAAAATAATGTTTTCGCATAAATTGGAAATTAACGCTTACTCCCGTTTATTGAATAAAGAATTTAATTCGAAATACCAGAAATGACAGATATCTTGAAGAAGGCTGGAGAGTACAACGGCTGAAACCTTGTGACTCTAACCAAAATGAAGATACTATCACAAACAAAACTGTGTACAATAATTATTTCATAAATTCAAACAAAAAATATTTATAATTTTAATGTTTTCTTTTTTTCTTCAGATTTAATTGTTCAGGAATTTGACTTTGTCGACAATCGTAAAGAAAGAAATGACTGTCTGTACCTTCTTTAGATATTGCCTACTTTCACTTTCACTTTTCACGGTTGCACCCGTCAGCAGCAAAAGGACTAAGTGCAAAGCTTTGGGTAAGAAGACAATTTTTGTTTACTGATTTATAAGAATGATTTCAAAACAAAAACACGCTCGTTTTGTGCAAGAATTTGCAAATCTCTATGGCGAGGCTTGATATTTAGCTTAGCTTATAACGAAATGCATAGTGTTGCGTTGCAGCTCAGACCAGACACCATGTTTGTTGACAGGGTGCGATTTCTTCCAGTCAAATGCTTGTGGCTTAAAAATTACCCTTCGGTCAGATCATTACCCACGAGTGAAAGACAAAACAATTTCTAGCAGTAAACCAGATTTTATTATTGGGTTATGACCTACTGCTATAATCGAGCGAAGATGATGCGTAAGTGAGGGGAGAGGTGAACAGTTCAGAGGCTGTCTACCCTGTTCATTTTCTGAGATCTGCTTCTTTCCGTCTGTTCGCCTTTTCGCTGGATGGTCAGTTTTATAGATAACATTTTTCTTTGTCTTCCCATCTTTGTCTAAAAAAGTAATTTATCTTCTTCCGTAACTTTCTTTCTGTCTGAGCTTCTTGCTCTGTACTTTGATGTTGATTTCCCTTACTGATAATCATCGGTCGAAAGTAAATGTTCTTTATCCATTTTTACGACAGGTCCCGCTGTTTTCCTCTTTAGTGACATTAAACTCCCTAGTTCCGTACAGGGTAAATCTCATCATGCTTACGTGTTGCTGCTATGGTTTCCGTAGAAAGCATGTTTTTACAAAGTGGATTTGTCAGCCCTACTCCAAAAAACTTAGTTCCTCTCCTAGACTGGTTGCCAGTCAAGGCTAGAGAGCTCAATTTTTCCCTGCTAATTAACCCATATCCGTTGTGAGAAGTGATGGGTTAATGGATAAACTTTTGGTTTCTTATCTTTCTCAAGGTTATTGGTGCGAAAGTGAACGCACTGAACTCGGAAGGAAATTGACCCCGGCACGGCGATTCAGCGATAATCGCTACGCTAAGCACGCACCCATATTGTTTTAAAAAAGTAGGGCTGGGAACTTTTGCACACGCCTAAGTTTCACTTAGTATGACACAAGGCTAAAATAAGAGACACCGAAGAAATGAGATATCCAGAAAAAGGCATGGCATGTGAAACTAGAAAAATCTATCCTCGTGGACTAAATAAAGTGTTCAGTTCAAAATTCTAATGTATATTTCATGAAGAAATCCGGAGCGAACAACGACCGAAACGTCGTGAATATGTCAATAAAGCTGAGGACAATAGTCCGAACAATGTAAATAGTGTAAATTGAAACAGGAAGAGTTTAAATAGCAATAACAAATAGGTCTATTACTAATGTTTAAGAATGCGTTGAGATGAACAATGTGATCGATTAGCTTGTTGCAATAACGACTCCGCTAGAGGGTCCTGAAGGTGACGTAATGGTTAATCCTTATTAGTGAGTAGTAAGTTCGATTATCACAAGAAGACCCATATTTGTGACCATGTGCCTGACTAAAGCAAGAAGAGTAGTAATGTGTATTTGAGGAAAAAAACAGAATGAGTTAAAATACTAATAACAAATAGGTTTATTACTAAAGTTTAACAATGCGTTGAGATGAACAATGTGGTCGATTAGGTTGTTGCAATAACAACACCGCTTGAGGGTGTTTAGGATGATGTAATAGTTAACGAGCTTTTTGATTTACCCTTATTAGTGAGAATGGATTCTGGTCAGGTTCGTTATACTTACACGCAAATACCCTTGGGAAATATAGGAATCCTTCACCTCTTCCACATGGGTTAAATATTAGCATTTGTATCTGGAAATTGTTATTCTCAAAAATTCCAAATGCATTGTTCCCTCGCAAAAAGAACTATTCTTAGAATCCAAAATATGTTTCGGCTTTAAATAACCTTCGAAGAGGTTGATAATCCGTAAAAAACAAATTAATCAGTTAATCAATTAGAACTTCAACAATCGATGATCCCGTTAAACTTTTACTAACAGAATCTTACAGCGATTGCAAAATGTCAATCGCAGTTAGTAAGTGATAAAGAAGAGCAAGGCTTGAAATAAGAAGAGCAAGGCTTGAAAAAAGACGCCAAAAACTGCCGAAGAAGGAGTTTGAAATGAAATTGGTTGCTAATTTGAAAGCATTGAGGTCGATAGTCTTGAAGTATAGAAGAGTAGTAATGTGTATTTGAAGGAAAGAAAAGAAGAAACAAGAAAAAGAGTTAAAATATCAATAACTAATTGTTATATAGGAATAAAGTGTGTCGTTGCTGACACTTGAGTTTGAACATAGATCGCCAGTAAGCAAACGCAGACGATCCCATTATTGAATTAAGTAGACCACGTGATCATAGAGGAAACGCATAAGTAGGAGGTTACGTGACGTCTAAAGGTTCGCTATTTCTGCTCTATCCGCTATTACTATATGGACCGCTATTTTCTACTCTATTCTCTATTCTATTTCTCTATTCGGATCACTATACGAAGCGACTACTATCGAGCAAGTACTATCAGTGCAAGTGCTGATACCAGTATTGTTCAACGTCGTTACTAAAGTTGTATCTGCGATTACAAAATCTCTACTACAACGAGCATTACAAAAGTGACAACGAGTCTTCGTTGACATCACAAAACTAATATATTTATTACCAATAATTCTGAATGCGTTGAGATGAAAAGTATTTTCGATTAGGGTGTTTGTAATTTCATGTTTCATTCCTATCGCTTGTTCGGGTGGATGTAAGCGGGTCAAAATAAAAAAATCGCCGAGTTCGAATTAAAGTCGGGTTTGTTACATTCACTTACACGCAAATATCCTTGGGGAGAGTATGAACACTCCCCCCGCAAACTATGTGTCAAATAGTAGGACTTGTAACTGGGGGGAAAAAATTATTGTTATTCTCAAAACACTATTAATGCCATATTTACTCACAATAAAACGGATTTTTCTAAAAATTCCAAATATATTTCGGCCTTAACCTTTAAAGGGTTAATAAGCCGTAAAAAACAAAACAGTCAAGGTATCGTTTGAGAGAAAAAAAAAACCCACTAACACCAAGGTTACCTCTCATACTCTCTATATAGTTTACTCTGTCGTTATTGCTTACAACAAATAACACCACAGTTTCCATGTTAATCCATATATCTTATTTTGCAGATATTTATCGAGTAAGCTATTTTGTGTGGGGAGAAGTTTGTAGATGAGAAATCGAAATTGATATAAGAAAATGCAGCGTTATTTAGATCTTTAAATGTTTATTTTGCAGATAGCAGTAGAGTAAAATCACTGTTCCTTCCAGACACATACTCAGTAAACGTAGAAGTAAAATTAATGAATAAATCAAAGGTGCTTCTGATTCGTGAAGATCACACGAAGGACATCACTAGCTTAAAAGTGACGGACACAAATAACGTAGTTCATTGTCTGTATTATTACCGACAGAAACAATTGGTCAGAGTTACCGAAGGTGAGTATAAATTCTTCTTTTTTATTAATAAGATTTACTTAATTAGCTACTATATTTCTCTAACTCTTCATTCCCATCTTTACACTATATTAATTTGATCTTATAAATTGTCCATTATTATAAGAAATCACTTTTCTTTTATCTCTTTATCTATATATTTTAAGGCTGTTTTTGAATATAACTTTGTATTTTTAAATATAACTAGGTATTTTTAAGTATACTTTGTATTTTTAAATATAACTTGTTTTTAGATATAACTTATTTTAAAAATAACTTTTTTATTTTATTTTATTTCTTTATATTTTTATTATTTAAATATATAATTTTTTATCTTATATTATTATTTTTAATATGTTTTTATTTTAAATATAACCTGTTTATTTTTTAATATAATTTATTTTTAAATATAATTTTTATTTATTTACTTATTTTTACATATAAATTATTTAAATATTACATATTTTTAAATATGGCTTGTTTTTTGGAATATGATTTTTTACTTTTAAGTATGATTTTGTTTTTTTACATATAACTTTATCTATATATTTTTAAACCCCTTTTTATTCCTCTTTAAATTAACATTTCATTCTTCATATAACACCAATTTAATGTCATATGGTTAATATTATATATGTCATAAGGTTAATTTTATAAAAACTCTTCGATTTAAGGCAAATACCTTCCATCTCCCTTGACCACTCCCTCATGCCTTTCGTCTGACTGAAACATTGAAATGGATAAATTCTATATTAGTTTTCCGACGTCTTTTTTTTTTTAGCTTTCACAGTTAAATTTCTATTTCCGACACGCACTCAGTCTTTAGCGGGGTTGAATAAGAATGCCGAATATTTTCGTCGGTCGAAATAAGCTTATTACTCATATAAGGTGAATTTTGGATGTTACTATGTATTAATTTTTGCTTTGTAATAATAAATACATTGAGCTCTTTTTGTGGATCAGTTTTAATATTTTATATTACTAGGATCCACCTGGATTATATACCAACGGATTTATTACCTTGACTATATATATATATATATATATATATATGTATATGACAAATTATATATATATATATATATATATTTGTCACTTAGATGATTGATGTTATATTCAGCACCTCGACTCCAAAGTTTCGTAGACAAGACTTTTTACAATTTGTTTCAAGAGCGACGGAGGAACGTGTAACCTACCTAGAGAGCTTCAGTGAATGGATGGCGGAGCAGGTTTTTAGGGAGATATCAAAAAGATAAAATTTATTAAGAGCTACAAAGTACATGAAGTTGGGGAGAGCCATGATTGCTTGCCATGGAGGGACACGGTGCGTAGAAGAATAATATAGCCGTCTATCCCCTTTCCACTGACAAATGCTATAGATGAAATTTCAACGAAAACCTGTGCATGTAAAAATCTCCCATTCCCCCTCTCTCTCTCTCTCTCTCTCTCTATATATATATATATATATATATATATATATATATATATATATATATATATATATCCTGTCTCTTTTCATGCAGGCAGGCATCTGAAATTAACATTCATTTCACATGAAATTAATCATTAACAAGCAATTTAAAACTGTACCAAATTAATTTCCTTTCTTGTGTCTCAATTGATTTGTTTGAACCAAACAAATAAATTATTGTTATTCTGTTTACCTGCGTATGTGTTAAATTAATTTATATTGAAACAATAATTTTTTTATGACGGTTTTTTCCTTGAAACCGCTATTATTTTAACTACCCTCACTCCTCGGCAATTCTTAAAGCGATACATAGAAATTGAAATAAACTTAAACATAGGCAAGTGAATTTATACATTTTCTTTATTCTTGAGAATTGACAACAAAAATAATAAAAACTTCTTTCTTATTAGATTGGAAAGTTAAAAAAACAATATAGCTAATTACCCATTGATTCGAACTTTATAAAATGGTAAATAAAAAGGATTTTGTAATATTAAGCGTAAGGTGTCAAAACAAAGAAAATTTAAAGAAATAAATCACTGTATTAACGTTATAAAAAATGATAAATCAGTGTAGATGTCTCGTTGAAAAACGATATTAGTGGAGTTTTAAAAGGCGTCCGGTGAGGCGTACGGAAGGAGAAAGTGTTGTGACTTATTAGGGCGACGGCCTTTGGCGAGCTGCCTCTTGGAGATGGGATAGGTCGCTTTCGGACAAAGTCAGTGAACTCGGATCAAGATACCGTCCAACTGCTGAAAATGTACCTTTGGTAGGCTTTTTTTATCCTTTCTTAGGCTCAAATCAGTTTTTTTGCTTCTTTAGACGGAATTGGGTGCTATTGGGTAGAAAATCTGGATTGTACTGCGTATTTTTTCTTTGAGCGTATAAGTAAAAATAGAAAGTATCTGCGGAGCCTATGCGCAGTTGACAGAATTTTAGTTCAGTTTTGGATGTTCGCGGCGTTCATATCCGGCCAGGGGAGGAAATTAGTGTAGCATGAATCAGAAAATCTGGTTTTAGGAAGAATTTAACAATTTCCTTATAGTTGGTTCATATATTTTAATAATTTAGTAAATGTTCAGAAATTTATGAATAAAAAATTGTCTTCATATTTATTTATTTTAAATTGGTAAATGATAAATATTGCATGTCGGGTACTAATGTTAATAGAAAACGATTAACGTGAGTGCTACAAAATAAAGAAGTTTTTATTTCCTTCTCTTTTTACAACACAAGAACTTGTGGAAAAATCTGGAAACAAAAATTCAATCGTGTTTTGTTTTTCTTTAAAGTCTTTGCGAGTTTTAGAGAAGTATCAGCGGCCGTGTGGCGTTAAAAGCATTCTCGCCAAGTTGGGAGTCGTAATTTGATACTGTTCGTTCAGCGGTCAGAGAAACGGGCTGAAGTGAGACACAGTTGTATTCATCTTGCCGGGCAAGTAAACTGTTTTAAGATAGTTTGAAAATATTGTGATTTTTATATTGTTCTGATGGGCCCACGCACACACGTGTTAACTCCACAAATTCCTTACGAAGTGACCGTGTATTTTTTTTGTACATTTTTGTGTGTTTATTTATGTGCTTAAAATTTTCAGTCAGTCAGTTAAGTGTCATGCGTGATACGCGCTTAGGCGATCATGTAGCTTTCGATACATGACTGAGGAGGCAGGTTTTTTCCAGTAGTAGGTTGCCATTTCTTTCTGTGGTAGACCAGTTGCCATCCAAGGCTATAGAACCCGGCCTGTCCTACTATTTACCCATAGCTTGGAGGAGAAGAATAGGATTCTACCTTTCCCAAGGGTATTAGCACGTAAGTGAATGCAAAGGATTCGACTGGAATTCGAACTCGGTTCTACCGATTCCTCAATCCAAGCCGCTATCCATTACTCCAACGTTTACTAACGCTCATTTAAACGGCCTCCAAATAAATGTTAACATTCAATACTTCTATAGACTTTTCTTTCATTACCCACTGATTTTTCACTCGTGAACCCGTTTGTAATCACATTTATTTGGCAAATAATATCGAATATAATTTCTAGATCTACGTGGACGGAAGAAGCGGGAATGCCAAGTAACTTCGCTGGTACCAAAAACACCCTGTATTCCAAACTCTCCGTGGACAATGCCGCTCTATGAGCTGAATCATGTCAGTAACTTCCGTTGGGTAAGTCAGCTTCTTCTCCTACTTTATATGCTGCGTCCCTTCATCATCCGCCTACCCACCGCGTCCCTTCATCATCCGCCTACCCTCCGCGTCCCTTCATCATCCGCCTACACTCCGCGTCCCTTCATCATTTGCCTACCATCCGCGTCCCTTCATCATCCGCCTACCCTCCGCGTCCCTTCATCATTTGCCTACAATCCGCGTCCCTTCATCATCCGCCTACCATCCGCGTCCCTTCATCATTTGCCTACCATCCGCGTCCCTTCAGCATCCGCCTACCCTCCGCGTCCCTCCGCCTCCATCCGCGTCCTTCATCATTCGCCTACCATCCGCGTCCCTTCATCATTTGCCTACCATCCGCGTCCCTTCATCATCCGCCTACCATCCGCGTTCCTTCATCATCCGCCTACCCTCCGCGTCCCTTCATCATCCGCCTACCATCCGCGTCCCTTCATCATTCGCCTACCATCCGCGTCCCTTCATCATTTGCCTACCACTTCTGTTTCACTTCCTTACATCCGCTTCCTTCAACTGCCCATCATATTTGAGACAGACTTTGGTAATATTTACACACTTCATATATGGCGGCGCTTCTTCTCCTCCTCCTTCTTTGTGTCGCGTCCCTTCAGATTCATAAACATGCAAACATAAATACATGCATACATGCGACATAAATGGTCTAACATGACACAGTGACTCCTAGCAACAGACGTAGCAATTGATTCGGTATAATCACCTCACTTCATGTCAGCAGAAAACGTGAAAATGGTTTGCTCTCCTGGAGGTTAGCATTAGCCATGCTAATGGAATAGAAGTAGTTCTCTAAATGACTAAAAGGTAACAGTTTCATTTACCAACCATTTCTCATCCTAATTAACAACTGATTTGGGGCCATTTTCGAGAGCAGTTTCCCGTTCTACTTTATCGAAACAATCTCACTATTTGTATCAAGATTAAAAGTTAGTTTCGGCTGCTGGGTTTTTCAAACTTTGTCCATCTCAGTAGACCAAATTTCCTAGCCGCAGACCTAGCAACTGATTCATTATAATCACTCAACTTCATGTCAGTGGAAAACATGGGAACAAGAAAGCGCAATGGAATATAAGAATCAGCAATTCAGATGGAAGGCAAAAGCCAATTAAAAGACAGCAGTTTCATTTTGGAGGCGTTAAAATTAACAAGCCATTTCTTACCCCAGTTAACAACTGATTGGAGCTCATTTAAGAGAGCCTCTACTTACTATTCTTATCATCATTAAAAGATAGTTTCGGCTGCGGGTTTTCAAACGTTGCCCATATCAGAGCTATAAAATCTTCATCTTATTAGTTAGTCTATTCAAATATTAAAGGGGCGTGGTTTCTCACCATTTACCTATTATTTCTATTACATCCTTCCTTCAACTGACCATCGGATTAGAAACAGCCTTTGTTAACGTTTAGGAAAACTTTCTCTATTATACTGTAATGTAATAAAACATGTAAATGGCGCAGCCACTCCTATCCGAGGATGATAGTTAGCTAATCCCCATTGCAGACGCCTGCTCAGGCACATTTGTGTTTCTTCAACGCCCACAGAGCCCAACTGTGGTTTATACTGTCACTATACTGAGCGGACCTTTATTACAGTTTCTGGGAGATAACATGTTATTTAGCATGATCAACAGTCTGAATAAGACTAGCATTCTCAAAGCCTCAGTCATGATGACTTGTGCCTTCGTGCTAGCACAACCACCGGCAGCTTCCAACGGTTGTGTCTACCCAATTTCACTCACAAGGCTTGGGTCAACCCGTTGTATGCTTTTCAGGAACTTTCCAAAGGTGTCACACGCTGGGTTCACCTCCTCCAGACTGATCAAGAATCACATTCCTGACAAATCGACCATGGTGAGATTCGAACCTGGATCTCATGGTCAGAAAGCAAACGGCCACGTGACCATTATTATGTCGTAAGTCTGACATAATCGACTTTATAAATATACAGTATTCATATATGGCGCCTGTTTTTCTTCTTCCTTGTGCCACGTCTTTTCAAGATATGAACGTTCATAGCTTTTCCACAACTTCCTATCCCTCTTAGCAGTATTTCCTGTTTGCTAAGACCCCCACCCCTGCTCTGTCGTTATCCATTCACATAAGTTCTTCAGGTAAGTGGCTAACTGCTTTCGCCTATCTCTTTTGCCCTCACTATGACACGAGCGGGTTAAGTTTTCCAAGCTCTCCTTCCACATTGACCGCTTGGGAATATCAAGTGTTGTAAACTTTGATGTGCAGGCAATTTAATGGCTAATGTCTCCGAATTGTTAATCGGAGAGACCAGTTTCAATTCCAGTTGGGTTCGTTATATTCACTTACGCGTAAATACTCTTGGGAAAGGTATGAATCCTTCCTTTTCTCTCCCAAGCTATGGGTTAATTAGTTAGACTTGTATCATTAAAGCCATTATTATCGCCAAAAATAAACATAAAATAAAACCGTGTACAAAATATTTAGATTTCAGCATAAAATAACCCATAGAGGTGTTGATATGTCGCTAAAGAAAAAAAACAATCAATGCTTTCTGATTATGTGTCCGAGAAACTTCAGCTGTCTTTTTCTAAGTATAAGTATTCTTTCTGTTGCCGTTTTCTTTAAGACTTCCTTGATGCTTACTCGCCCCGTCCATGGAATTCTCAGTATCCTTCCGTAGAACCACATTTCTGCTGTCTCCAGTTTTGTCAATATCGGTAGGGAGAATATTCGATGCCATATAAGAGGATGTATATCCCATAGCAATTCAGCACTCTTTTCTTTGCTTCTAACGGATTTTTTTCCGTTTTTCAACGCTTTATTTAGTTTTTGGAATGCTTCTTTCGCTCGTCCAATGCGTTGATGTGAGCTTATTAATAAATAATTATTTCTGGATAATAACTTCGAGTTAATTATTATAAGTAATAATTATTATAAATATTCATTTTCGTAAATGTACTAGCATCTTCTCGGTTACTGACGAAAGCCTCGACCCAGGGATTCAAAACCTTTAGTAGTACCTTTGCACTAGAGGAAGAGTCATTGGATTCCAACACCTGTAGAACAATGGTTACGGGCACTAGAATTTTTTTCCTTGGCTCCTATGTTCGTGTATAGGCGTTCTATTTGAAAGCGACCATGTGACACATTCATTGAGGTTTCCGTGGCAGATAAATACGATTTTATTTACTGACCCAAGTTTAGCGTCTGTTCTTCCCTGTCTTGTTTCTACCTTGTCATAGTTCGCAATATTGCATTGCAAGGAGCCTTATCACGAGGTTCGAAACCTTGTGGCAGTACCTTATTGCATCAAACTCGAGGGGTCCAGAATACTCTGACACCAGAGTTACAGGGAATACAGTTACACAAAAATAAAAATGAGGCGTTTATTTCAAATGCGTTTATCCACTATAGTAACATATAAAGTAAAATGCATGGTGAAAAATGTTTTTGTATGACGCGTTTCGTCCTTTAGGACTTCATTTGACTAAATTTGTTATGTTAGTGCGATGTTATTTAGTGAAATGAAGCCAGGAAGTACGAAACGCGTCACACAAATTTTTTTTAAACTTTGTGATACATTTTTGCCCAATATTATTGTTGATATATAAAAATTTGTATATTGTTATCTCAATTAAAGATACTGTCTAACGATTGGACAGACGGGCCCGTCTACGAAACTCTGGAGTCGGGATGTTGGTGACAAAACTTTTAATTATATATATATATATAGCGAGAGAGAGAGAGAGAGAAAAGAGTGAGAGAGATAATATTAGTGGTCAATATATATATATATATATATATATATATATATATATATATATATATAAATTCTCAAGAGGATCCAGGTAAACTCAATGTCAGGACAGAGTAAGAATATAATAAAAAAGGCTCAAACACTAATATTCCATGGTTATAATTTATTACATTTTGAATCGTAATTAAGATCCAATTCATCAGACCTACAAATTCAAAAATTGACTAAATTTGTTATGTTGAATTTGAAGGTCTGATGAATTGGATCTTGATTTTCACAATTCGAATATAATAAATTATAACCATGGGAATATTAATGTTTGAGCCTTTATATTATATATTTTACTCTTGTCCTGATTATTATATATATATATATATATATATATATATATATATATAGGATGTAACAGCAAAATTGTTCAAATCGTGTAGCAGCATACAATAATTGCCCATCCCACAAAATGTTTAATATCTAAAACACTATTAAACTAATTGAGTTTCTTTCTCCAGGTTTTCAGGTTACACGTTTAGCCATCTTGACACCATTTGCCATAAGAATCACTGAAAAACCCTTTGATTTATTCAACTAGAAAGAGAACTGATTAAAATCCTTTCGTGTCAGCTGCACTATGTCTTCTCCATTGAGCAATGGCGAGAGGAAAAAGATCATTCATACATTCAGTAATGGTACCAAGATTCAAACTCTGGCTTCCATCTTCAAAGTCCATTCAAGAACCATCAAGAGAACGGTGAATAAGTTTAAAAAGAGGGAACAATAGAGAGGAAAAATCGATGAGGAGGTCATAACAGTATGAAGGATCATCATTTTAACTTAGAGCTAAATACATTCTTATTGTTCAAAGTAGAGTCCAATAGTGTTATAAAAACCTCGGAGAATTCCATTATAATATATCTTTAATCATTTCCAACGGTTCAAAGCTTAATCTAACAATTAGACAATTTTGCTGTTACACCCGGTATCTATCTATCTATCTATCTATCTATCTATCTATCTATCTATCTATCTATCTCAGTATATCCATGTCTATCTATCTATCTATCTATCTATCTATCTATCTATCTATCTATCTATCTATCTATCTATCTATCTCAGTATATCCATATCTATCTATCTATCTATCTATCTATCTCAGTATATCCATGTCTATCTATCTATCTATCTATCTATCTATCTATCTATCTCAGTATATCCATATCTATCTATCTATCTATCTGTCTGTCTATCTATCTGTCTGTCTGTCTATATATATATATATATATATATATATGTGTGTGTGTGTGTGTGTGTGTGGTGTGCATATATATATATAGAGAGAGAGAGTGAGAAAGAGAAAGAAAGAGAAAAAGAAAGTGAAAGAAAGAGATAGAGATTATGCTTCATTTATGTAGATGTTTTCAATTAGCTTCTGGAATATGCGCTTCACAAATAATTATCAGTAGATAAATCCTCCTCTTCCGCTGTATGTTTTTCAGAATACAATTAATAGATTACTTCAGAATATATAAAATATAATTTTCAGGAGATAAACTTATAAATCTGATATGTCTGTCGTTAAAGCATTCAAAAACAAAAAAAAACAAAAAAAAAAACAAACAATATTTTTACAAAAATTTTAGCAAATGGAAACTGATATGGCTTTGGAGATACGTCATCTCCATATAAATATCAGTTTAGTTATGTTTTGTACATTTTCAAATCAGATTTAGATTTTGAATTTGTATCAGGATCTAAAAATCTTTAAAGAAAATACAGTTTCTCAAAATTTACTATCACTACTAAACCGTGGGAATTACTACTACCGAGAGGACATTTCCTTTGTTAAGTTTCTTGAATCTGCACACCGGTAAACATAATTCACACTAAAAAATAAATAAAAAAAAATGTCTGCTACAACATGTGGCTATCCAAAAAATAACGGTTAAATTAGTAGAAAAAATGCCTGATAGAAATGTCTTACTTTCTCAAAATCTATATTAATTCATACGAGTGCCTGTTTTAAAAATGGATTTCTTTTTATATTTAATCTTTTTTTTTTTTTTACAGTTTCCTAGAGAGAAAGAATACCCTCGAGATATAGAATCTTTGCACCTTGAACTTTGTGATTATGATACCAACCACAAAATTCGTATGAAACTTGACGCTTATATCACAGGTAAGTCAGTCTGGGCGTACGATTATATTTTCTAAATAAGTATCAAAACATATGTTTCAATAGAGGCTATCCCATAATAATGGGACACATTATAAATGTAAATATTTTGGATTATAAAAATGTCGCAGAGTACAAAATATATTTATTACATAACTGATAGACAAGAGTTCAACATATCATCTAAGATTTGAATATTACACGCGGGAGATATTCACAACCACGAAGAGAGCATATATATATATATATATATATATATATATATATATATATATATATATATTTGGTTAAATAGTTTAGACGTATTTTGTCTATTTTAAGTTTCGTCTAATTGCTATTTTGTAATAGGGTATTCACTTTTATAGTTGAAAGTGCACGTGTTTATGCATAAACTTTATAAACCGTGCAAAAGCAAACTCTTCAACAAGAAAGATATGAAAGTTAAGGCACGTCAGCATATATGATAGTTCCGTATAGGATACAGGTTCAATTCCTGACGGAGGACGCATATTTTCTATGATAATTTCTCGGACATTTCGGCCGGTAAATGTTGTTAATACTGTTTATTATTAACAGAGCATTTACTTAAATATTTGTATCTATAAAAAAATAAAAAAAAAGAACATATAAACATAAGAAAGATATTCTATACTGAATTTTAAAAAATAAACAAACCCTCATTAATAATGACCTTACTAATTACATCGTTGATGAACAAATTAGACGAGCTATTGGGAATATTGACATAAATAAAAATGAACATAATATGACCTCAAATAACTGTAAACATATCAAAATACTATGCAGTAATCAAATGCATTCTAATTATAAGCAGATACTAAAAAGACTTATAAAAACTAATATATTCCCCACTGATCCAAGTAAAAAAAATAAAATTAATTTTATACTATACTAAATTTAATACAACCAACCTAGTTGTCCAAAACAACTATTCTCCGTCAACTAATGTCTTATAAAATACCAACATCGTATATCAATTTAAATGCTCTTTGGGAGATTGCATCTCTGAAAAAATGTTAATACGTATGTTGGCTTTTCAACAAAGACGATGACTGACTTCAGTTTATCAATAGTGTTACAAAGAGTTTCGGTGGTCTCTCGCTCAACTGCGCCCCACACATAATAATCCAGAGGGTTGCAGTCTAGAGAGTTAGGTGGCCAGATGTAAGGGGTGATGTGGTCGCAGAAATTGTCTGACAGCCGTGACTGGGTTCTCCCGCTTGTGTTGCATGATATAGATTCATGTTGCCGGACATATGGTCTTCCAGCAGCCACCCTCTTGACCCAGGGCAGCACTACTTCCCCAACACACTTGATGTAGGCCTCCGTGTTGAGTCTGAGGCCCCGGGGGAAGATGAATGGAGGCATAACGTATCCATCGCTAGCGATCACTGCAAACTCCAAGATGTTCACTGGATATATCATGCAACTCTCTCTGTAATCCTCTGCAGCGTCCTCAAATTGACGCCCAAACGCTCTGAAATGTTCATATTGGAACTTCCAGTGCAAATGCCAACCAATACAGCATGCCGTTTCAAAATTTCTAGCGGAGTGAATTGTGTCATACTGCTCCTTTTTATAGACGGTACCCAACTGACTTTACTATACTGTGCAGCCGACAAAATCAAAAACGCATTACGCGCATGCGTGAAATTAAAAATAAAATTACGACAATTTACCCGTCTCCCTATATATATATATATATATATATATATATATATATATATATATATATATATATATATATATATATATATATATATATAAAAATTCCTAAAATTGAACATACATGATATGATAAATGCCTGAATCTTAATAAAAACAGTTTTATCATCAAAATCTTTGTTATTGTTAGAGGAAAGCCTAAACATTTGATGTCAAAATTATTTTTCAGGAATTCTTTTGGAACCTTCGGAATTTTGGTTATAAATCTTGTTTTTCTGGAGTCTCTGTGGGACCTTAAATTTTCTCGAGAAGTTTGTGTGTTTTTTGCAATGAAAAGCACGCTAATTTGGACATTCTTAGAAAAATAAAATAAGTGTCGGATTTTAATGAAAATTTAGGACTTAATCAAAACTAAAATATATTATTTTTTAAAGTGTTTCTTTTTCAAAAAATCTTGGTGAAATATTTTTTAGATTTGTCACTTATTAAATTTTATGAAATTTCGAAAAAAAATTTTTTGTAGCACTTAATGTTCATTTTTGTCATAAGGACAAACAGTCCGAAAATTTAAATCAACAAATTCTTTTTGTCAAATATGACCTCCAGCTACAGAAAATCTGTTCTGAATCGAAAAATAAAAAATGCAGTAAGACTAAGACATTGCTTAATTAAAAAAGATTTTAATTATTTTTATGAATGAAATATATTATGGATACTACTGTCTTACGAAAACTTTTTCCGATGAACAATGAATTTTTACAAAAATATAAATATAAATATAATATAAATAGAATAATTTATAATCTTTTTAAAATCCTGTATAAATTTGTGGAGGTCAAGTGATATTGTTATTAAATAAAAACTTTATCTAGTAATTATAAATAAAAAAGCACACTACAATTCAGTGGATCGCAGTATTTTAAAATACATTTTGAATTTTTTTGTGTATAAACGTATCGATTTTTTAAAATACGAATATCTACACATGACATTATCAGGAAATAAGAGCGGCAATTATAATAAATTTAAAATTTATTGGTAATTTTTTAACATTTTCTGGCGTCGGGTACTGTGAAAGCGTAGAAATGGAATTTTATACTAGCAATACATTCTTTTTTTTAATTATTACGAACAATACATTTTTTAAAAATAACATATATTGCCAGCAATACATTTTAGAAAAATAACATGTATTGCCAGTAATACATTTTTCAAAAGTGGCATATTTTGCCAGCAATACATTTTTGAAAATAACATATTGCCAGCAATACATTTTTGAAAAAAAAATAAATATTAGCAGCAATAATAATCTTGTCGGCATTAAATAACCCATTGAGGTTGATATGCCGTAAAAGAAAACAAACCAAGCCAAACCAAACCAGAATGCTTTAGATATTTCATTTTTTAAAATTACTGAGTAGTTTTTTAAAAAAAAATAGCCAAAATTAGTAGATAGTGTTCTGTTTCAATTAAACGCCATGTTTTGCGCGTTGCTTTTCAAAAGCATTCACACTGGACGCTTGGCGCATCATCATTCTAAAACCTTTTTCTCACATTTTAAGTCAACGTTCACAAATTTCTGTACGCTCATAGCTTCTTAATATCCTCAAAGGATTAAAAAAAAATCGCATTGATCCGAACCTATTTGAATCTGCCAAGTCGCTCTACTTGACCAGCTAATGGAATCTGATGATGTCTCCAAGGACACCAATGGAGGGGACACTATACTTAGATATTTATCACGTGAAATCCCAAAAGGATTTTAGCTTTATAGCTGAATGTAAGGTTTATTATCAGTGGCGTAGCAAACCATCAGTAGGACTGGCTGATGTTTGTTCATGTTCATGGTTATTAACTAGATAACAAAAAATCCTTTGTAGTGTATGGGCAGGTAATCGTAGTGCAGTGAGATTAACAATAGTAGTGGCATAGGCTGTTGGATGGAATCATTTTCATTGATTTATATATACAATATTAACTGTTGTTCTCTACAATGTCTTGGTAACGATGTATACAATAAGTCTCCCCTTTTTTTCTGTTCTTCTTTCCTTCTATTACTGGACTTTTAACAGTTAATAATCGAAGTCAACACATGTAAAACCAAAATTTTATCCTAAGAACTCAAGTCATGTTCTTTAATAACATCTAGATTCTCATATCGATGTAATGACGTCCAACTCGTTCAGAAATATCTAACCTGACGTTTCTCAACCGGTACGGCCCTGCGCAAATAATACGCCCTGAATGGTATCCAGGTACGCCCCAAAGTTAACAAAGAGTAATTTATGAGTTATTTTTATTTTTAAAAAAAATCTTTATTTTTACAAAGCTAGAAAAACCAAGCATGTGGCTCTCGTGTTTAATTCAGATTTTTGTCATTTGATATTTTAAACT